CGTTGTGATAATCAGGACGACAATATGAGGGCGAGGTTCCTCTTTTTTATGGCGAAAATTGAGTATGGGCGCGGTGATGGCATCGATAAATCAGGGTTGTGCACGAGAGACATACGAAGCGAAGAGAAAACCCTAGACGCGCGTGGAGTCTATTCCTGCATCTATTTCCTCTCGCAACTAACTTTATTCTTTTGACTTTTATAAAACGAACGTCATTTTGGATTCAGCGGCCGTTTGGTTCATCTATTCAGCATAACGGACGGGGAAATATAACGTTAGTAATGGCTCCCGTGCGCGTGGTGATGCTTCTTCAATGGCTTCCTCGTTCGACCGAAGCATCGATACAACCCCTATTTAAATGGCGCAGACTGAACACCTCCTGTGGCATATTCTATCCGGTTCAAGAGTTGGTATTGTTGCATAACGTTGCGGAGGTTCGTATGCATAGTGAACAAGGGGAATGGAGAGGGGGGTTAATTAAGAAAGTTCTGGAGGGCAATAAATGGTTGGGAGACTCTCTCGTGGATAAAGTTATAGTTAACTTCGGATTCGTAATAGTTAAGGTTGTTTTACGTCCTGTCTTTCCATTGATTAAGGGAACGATATTTTATTGTGTGAAGAGAAAGCTTATTGATCGTGCCTGCAGGTCTGAAATGTATTGATTTTTGTAAGTGTGCCAAAAAGCGTTACTTTCACTCCCAAAGCTTAGTTATCGCGTTTCCTGGTTCTTGTATAGTGGCGAGGCCCGAGGGTTGCGTGCAGTGCGATCTCTGCAGCGCGTGCACGGTGTAAGGGTGCAGCAGATGCCTGCGATTTCTCTTTTTCCGTGCTATCATTCTCTCTTTCCTTTCCCAGTGGTTTTCCTATTTCTTTTTGGTATTGTCAGTCTGTTTGAGTCTCTCTCTCTCTCTCTCTCCTCTCTCTCTTCTCTCTCTCTCTCTCTCTCTCTCTCTCTCTCTCTCTCTCTCTCTCTCTCTCCTCTCTCTCTCTCTCTCCTTCCCTCTCTCCCTTCCTCCCCCTCTCTCTCTTCCTCCCTTCTATCTCTCTCTCTCTCCTCCTCTCTCTCTCTCCCTTCCTCCCTCCTCTCTCTCTCCCTTCCCTCCCTCTCTCCTCTCCCTTTCCTCCCCCTCTCTCTTCTCCCTTCCTCCCTCTCTTCCCCCTTCCTCCCTTCTGTCTTTCCCCCTCCCTCACCCCCAACTCCCTCCCTCCCTCACCCCCAAACTCCCGCTCCCAAAGATCTGTCGAAATTGAATTCCGTTTTAGTTTCCAAACCAGCGAGATGACTGTAATGCAAACTTTCACAGCGAGCAGGTCAGCATGACACATTATACAACGCCTTCTCTGCACGCCACCGAACGCCACCGACGCACGCACGCACGCACACACACACACACACACACACACAACACACAACACAACACCCACACACACAACACACACACGCAACACACGCACGCACGCACGCACGCACACACACACACACACACACACACACACACACACACACACACACACACACACACACACACACACACACCACACACACACACACACACACACACACACACACACACATCGTGGGCAGAAAGGCAATTCGTGGCAGCTCTGGGCGGGTTTCTTGAGTACGAATCTGCTGTCGCCGGGCATGTGATTCCGACGTTGCTTGTTTGTTGTTGGCTGTTTTGAGAGAGAGAGAGAGAGAAGAGAGAGAGAGAGAAGGAGAGAGAGAGAGAGAGAGAGAGAGAGAGAGAGAGAGAGAGAGAGAGAGAGCAGGGGAGGAGAGAGGGAGAGAGAAAGAGAGAGAAAAAGCAAGGAGCTAATGGGAAAAAAAACTTACCGACAGATAAATATAGACCTAAGAGTACAACAAAAGGTCATGCAGAAAGAAAAGGGGAGGAGAAGGGGGAGGGGGGACGGAAGAAGGGGAGAAGGTAGAGAGAGCAGTTGACGCAGTGGACACGGCACTACCTCCCTCCCCCCTCATCCCTCCCGGTCTCCTTGTGGCATGTAGGTCCCCCGTTGTCATGGTTCCTGTGACAGCAGCAGGTTAATGAGAGTAAGAGACGGGAAGACCCAGCCTTCTGCCTTCAACTGTCTGAGGGAGGAGGGGAGGAGGAGGGCTGGGAGGGGAGGGGGAGGGAGGAGGAAGTGGTTATCGCGTGTGTCTTGGCGCCGCCGCGTGTACTTCTGTGGCTTTTTTCCTATCCTTTATCTTCCTCCTCCTTTTTTTTTTTTTTTTTTTTTTTTGGCGATGACTTTCATGAAGTCGTCAAGTCGTCTATTAGGGGCGTTTTCGTTGGGTCAGGAGGAGGGGGAGAAGAAGAAGATGATGATTGGATGATGATGAAGGGGAAGGTATATTTTTTTTTCGTAGGATTAAAAGGAGGTTGGGGAGGGAACGGGGGATTGTGTGTGAAATGCAGAGGAAGAGGAGGAGGAGGAGGGATGGGTTCCCGGTCAGGAAGAAAGGGGCGGGGAACCTAGGAGGCCAGGAGTCGTGGGTGGAGAGGCGCCGGATTGGGATGTCATGTGGGTGGGCGCATCAGCTGATCACACGAGGGCGGTGTGGTGCTCGCGGCGTGCGGACAGAGGTGGCCCCAGACCCGCCCGGTGCGGAGAGAGAAAGACAGCTGCGTATCAGTTGGATTGTTATGTTAACAGGTCGAGATAAGGAGGGTCTTTGTGTGTGCCGGGACTTGATAAGGATATACCCCCCCCCCCCTTTGAGAAGAGGGGGGGCGGGGGGAGAGAAATGAAAAAGGAGAGGGGAAGGAAAGGAGAAAGTGAGGTTTTCACTCAGTCGGTGCATGCTTCTCGTGTCCGGTATCTCAAGCACCGTGCTTCGAATTCTTCATTTGTTTGTCTTTCCATCGCTTTTTCCTCTCCTCCTCCTCCTCCTCCTCCTGCATCTCTGAGATCCAAGGTCTCTCCCAGTTTGGTGATAGGAAGGTTCCCCTCCTCCACCTGAGCAGTAAAAGTTGTGCCACTCCTACTTTTTTCTGTCACTATCTGCGTCTGTCCGTCTTCTGTGTGTCTACGCCCCCTCTCCCTCTCCCATCCATTTCCCCCTCCCTCTCCTCCCTTCTTTCCCCCCCTCCCTTCCCTCTCCCTTCCTTTTCCCCCTCCCTTTCCTTCTCCCTTCTTCCCCCCTCCCTCCTCCCTTTCTTTTTCCACCCTCCCTCTCCCTCTCCCTTTCCCCCCCCCTCCTTTTCCTTCTCCCCTTCCCCCCCTCCCTTCCTTCTCCCTTCTTCCCCTCCCTCTCCCTTCTCCCCCTCCCTCTCCCTTCTTTCTCCCTCTCCCTCTTTTCCACCCTCCCTCTCCATCTCCTTCCTTTTCCCCCCCTCCCTTCCTTTTCCCCCTCCCTTTCCTTCTCCCTTCCTTCCCCCTCCTTTCCTTCTCCCTTCTTCCCCCCCTCCTTTCCTCTCCTTTCTTCCCCCCTCCCTTCCCTCTCCTTCTTTTCCACCCTCCCTCCCTCCCTTCTTTCCCCCCTCCCTCCCTCCCTTTCTCCCCCTTGCTCACCCCTGCCTTGTCTTCAGCTCTGTTATCAATCTTGCTGACCTGTGCCATCTCGCCTTACTGATGCCCTTTGCTGATTCGAGTGGACTCGTGCTCTCTCTCTCTCTCTCTCTCTCTCTCTCTCTCTCTCTCTCTCTCTCTCTCTCTCTCTCTCTCTCTCTCTCTCTCTCTTCTCTCTCTCTCTCTCTTCTCTCTCTCTCACGCACACGCACACACACACCACACACACACACACACACACACACACACACCACACACACACACACGCACACGCACACCGCACACACACACACACACACAGACACGCACATACACATGCACACGCACACGCACGCACACATCCATATTCGCAAAATGACATCGCTGACATCAGCTGACGTCCCTCGCAAGGGCGCCTCTCTCCTCCCGGGCGTCCCACGGTGTGTAAACAATGTCGTTCGGGCGTGGCTATGCTATTGGAATATTGATCTACTGCAGTGAACAAAGCTTTAAAAATGCCGCTGTTAGATAATGCCTGTGTCCGCACGCCTTTCCCCCCAGAGCATTCTCCTCTCTTCCATCTTCATCCGCTTCTCTCTCTCTCTCTCTCTTCTCTCTCTCTCTCTCTCTCTCTCTTCTCTGTCTGTCTCTCTACTCTCTCTCTCTCTCTGTATCTATCTATCTATCTATCTCCATCTCTCCCTCTCCCTCTCTCCTCTCCCTCCATATCTATGTGTCTATTTGTATGCCTAACTCATCTCTCTATCTTTTTCTCTTCCGATATTAACAAGACTGTGAAACGGAACAGGTGTACGCAGATGCACCGGCACTAATCAGGAAAGTGTGTTCACAGTTGGGGAAGGAATTATACAGGTGTTAGCTAACAGAACACCTGCACAGATGCCTACGTGTGAAGGAACAGATGTTTGGGGGGAAATTACGTATAAACCGGTGGTAGGACTAGATAGAGGAACGGACAGAAGTCCCATAGTCATTCGTATTTAGAAGTTTCTTTCTCTCCTCTCTCTCTTTCTCTCGCTCGCTCTTTCGCTCTCTCTTTCGTTCCGTCCTCAGCAGATCGATATAAAGTTCCTGGAGGGAGGAGTGTGTGTGTAGGGGAGGGGAGGGGGGCGTGGGAGTAGGGGAGGCATGGAGTGTGCCACCTCTGTCTGTGTCTCTCTCGCTCTCCACTCTTCAAGCATCTACTGTACTTACGTATCTACGCAGACACGGATGCATGCGCGTGTAGTTGTTCACACACACACACACACACACACACACACACACACACACACACACACACACACACACACACACACACACACACACACACACACACACACACACACACACATTGGAGAGGCATAGGCCTATAGCTCTTTCATTTTCGCGCGTGTTATTATTAAGATTGCCGATGCAGATTTGTTCACATAATCATATCCATTCGCAGAATCCATATGAAAATCTTAGCACTTTCATTTTATCATTTTCAGCATCTTCATCAGCTAATTTTATCTCTGATGACCCAACCTCCTCCCGATACACTCACCAAAATACACGGAAAAAGCCTCTCCCAATCCATCCACTCAAAACCATTCCTTCTTCATAATCTTTTCGATAATCTTTTATCCTCCTCTTCCCTCCTTCACATCATCCTAATCCTTCTCCTTCTGCCCACAGGAGAGCGCCCGTTCGAGTGCACGTGGGCGTCCTGCAGAAAGAGGTTCGCCCGCAGTGACGAGCTGGCACGGCACACCAGGACCCACACCGGAGAAAAGAACTTTGTGTGCCCCGTCTGCCAGAAGAGGTTTATGCGCTCAGATCACTTAAGGTACGAAAGGGGGTCCTTGTTGCTTCCTATTTGATGTTTTGCTTTTTTTCTTGAATATATATTTGATGTTCTTTGTGTCGTTGAGTTTTTTTTAGGGGGATTGTGGTTTGATTTCTATAAATATTGCGTTTGACTTATTTTTTTTAGAATTCTCTTTCTTGTCTCTCGGTATTCATTGAAGCAAACAAACGCGCTGCCGAGTTTGTAGTACCATTTTCATTAACTTTTTTCTATTAATCAGTCAATGTCTCAGCCATCACACGGAAACCTAACCATGTCCTTCTCCCCGCAGCAAACACGCCCGCAGGCACCCGGATTTCGACCCGACCCTCCTGCGGCAGCGGCGCCACGCAGCCCCGAGCCCCCTCACCTGCCCGTCCTCTTCCGCCGTCTCGGACATGGAGGAACCCAGCTCCCCTTGAGGTCTGCCGCACTTAGGAAGCAAGTCCCAAGTAGTCGCCGTCGCCGCCGCCGCCGTCTCTGTGCCACACGCGGCTTCGTCTGCCGTGCAGTACAAAGTGCTGTGTCCTCCCGCAGCGCCACACATGTAGCCTGACCATAATGATGAGGTGTTGGAGCAAGCGGGTGTTGCCGTGGTGCAAATAGAGGACCAAAAAAAGAGAATGGAAAAGATGGAAAAAAATGCATATGAAAAAGCAATTGTTAATAGTCTCTTGTTTCTCTCTTTCTCTCGTTCTCGTGGTGTGACGCTCAACCAATCCACCCACTCAAATGTTTGTAAATACTTTTTTTTTATTATTGTATCTCTCTCGCGGAAGTTAAATAGGCTCTACCCACTCAGGTCTGTGAGGCATACCACACACAAAATATCTTATTGCTCAGAATTACGTATTCAAGTGCAACACAGTGTAGCAGTCATCAGAGTTGTGTCATCTGTGCATCTGCTCTCAGCTGCTCAAAAAAGAAAAAGAAAAAAAAAACAGATGTGATGTATATATATTTTACATGAGACAGTTACTTGATGCTCTTTTGATATATGCATACATATACATATATATATATAATGTATTTTTAATTGTGTTCCATGACTTTTGGGAGTGTATCACACGTGTTGTAAATTGTATACATATCGTATCAGTAGGTTCAAACTGTAATGATATTCACACATTTATATGTATACCCATTATACCTACATATTCCCCGTGTACAAGTGTGTGATCCTTCACTTCCATGTATATAAACATTGGGAGTACTTGCAGCTACCAGGAAAATGTTTGTACTATCTCCCCGTGCTCATACTATTGGTCTTCGTAAAATACAGGGTTTCGGTCGATGATCAGAAGAGTCTTCAATCTTGCTACAAACTAGAAATTTTTGTAAAAAATATCTAGTGAAATACTATTAACCATTTTTCTCTAGGCCTGAACTATTTTTGAATGCAGAAAATACTAATAAGTTTGTGTAAATACAATAAGTATTTGCTGGCTATCTCAAATGTTTGAATTCCCAAATCATTTCTGGATATCCCAGTTAATGTTCGTGAGGCATAAAAGATAAACAGTATGCAGATATGGGTGAATTATTTGTTACAGAATGAAAAGTTATTTTTCTATTTGAAAAGACAATATTGCCAACCCCCCCTCAAAAAAAAACAAAAAAAACACAGAATAGGAAGGAGACACCAGTGTTTTGCCTCATACTTGACATTAACCAGGGTATGTTGTAAATGGCAGGTTGTAGTACTTTTACCTGGTGCTATTAAGTGCCTTAGATGGTTGGAGCACCAATGTTCCCACACTCAACACTACCCCACACAGGTCTAGTGATTCCTCTCCCCCTCCACGAGTATCTAACCACATTGGTCCTCATCCACCTAATAATACCATGCCTTTCCACTCCCAGCCACTTCCAATGTCCCCCTCATGTGGTACTTGATATTGCACCTTCTCATTGTATACACTCTACCCCAGCATTCATATGTTTAATATAAGGCATTATTTATCCATATATAGGGTAATTTATGTATATTCATGTTGTATCGCACACTATTATTTTACATACCTCCTACTGCGTTCCTTTGAAGGCATGCCACTTTTGAAAGGTTGGGCTGGAAAGCATATCAGTTCCTCTGTTAATGTTACTGTGGCAGTATTTTTTTCATGGCATCTTACAATGCCTGCACCAGCACAATTGCCAGCTAATCTCGCCGAGCCGATCCATGGCCCTCGAGATGTACCTAGGAAAAGCCAAATTCGTAGAGATATAAAATTCCCTGGATTTATTTTGGAGGATAAAATGTTGACAGCTTCTTTTCATATATTATGTAGTTGCATATTTTGATATATGTGACTAAAACTTTGTAAATATATTTAAAAATATTTTATGACTGCTTTCTGAATTATAAATGAAAGGAGTTTAGACAGTATTTTCAGATTAGCAGGGAAAATGAGGTAGTCATAGATATGAAAATAGTCACATTTTGTAACAGAGTATCATCCCATTTCAACAAATTCATGCTCATTTCTTTGCAATATCCCATCTCAGACCTCAAGACAGTGTGTGTGTCTAGTCACTACAGGGCCAACCCTAAACAGCATAAAGTTGAAATTTAAATACTAGACAACTTATGTACTTATATCCATTTACAAAAAACAAGAATTTATACTTACAGTTACAGTACAACTGGCTGAAGGTTTTTAATTTTTTTCTGGTTGATGCTCACTAAATCTGCCAAGTGTTTATTGATCAAACTTCAGCTCTAGTGCCATATTTTATTTTGAGAGAACAGTAAATAGACTTTAAAATGAAAGAAAAAACTGTTGTAACTGACTTTTTTTTATTTTGAAAGACTAGGCTACTGCTAGCAAAAAAAAAGTTAAAAGCATTTTGATGGCAAGTAACCCCAAAAGAGTTTTTAGAACTGGAGAACCATTGCTAAGGAGGAAGGCATCTGCTACACATTATTTCCATTTTTTTACGCAATGTGGCTCGTACATCAGTGACACTCACTCTGAATCACCCTTTGCTGAGCATTGTATAAATGAAGAGCAAGAACTACATTTCCATTTGGTCTGAGCACAGTGTGGCTGTCAGAAGGTCAGCTACACTTGGCTGAAGTTACTGATGTGATCTGTACACTCTCTTGTAGTACTGTACTTATTGGTAGTACTTAAATTATAAAAGAAAAAAAAAGTAAGAGCATAGTCAGATCAGTCCACAAATTAATAATATATATATATATATATATATATATAATATATAATATATATATATATATATATATATATATTATTGTTTTCTAAAAGTGATCAGACTATGAGCAGCATCTTTCCATTTCATTCTTTGCAGCTAGATGCTCAGTCTTAAATAAATTTGATCCAGAAATATAGGAGTCCAGAGATTGAAGATTATAAGGAGGCTCGACTTCACGTAGGATCTGAGGGGCAGTCGTTATAGTTACCTCTTATTTGATTTGTACAAAAAGACATAAAAGTGATTTGGTGTATCATTTTGATAAAAGGGTTGTTCGTAATCTGTATTACCTGTGTTCATTATAAGGTAACCTTACAAATATACCTTATACTCTATGATAATAATTTTTTTCTTTGTAATGATGGAATGTATTATTATTTTTCTCTCTTGTGTGTTCTTTACAGTTCTCTTCAGTTATTCAGTCAAAAGATATTTATGAAAAAGAGAATCAGAAACTTTTATTCTTATAAACAGATTTGCAGAGCTCTTGAACTTTGTCCACTTAAAAAAAAACAATAAGATAGAAAATACACAAAAAAATAATAACACAGAAAACCAATAGCCTGCAAATAGTATATGGAGACTGAAGGGAACTGTAGGGTCTGCCACTGTGTTCTCCTGAAAAGTCTTTCAATACACACCTTCCATAGAGAGAGTTTTGAGGAGGGGTGAATATACATCGCCACTCGAAAAAATAGAATAAAAAATGGTTTGTTTCCCAATACTGAAGACATTGTCAATACAGTTGTGTAAATAAAGAGATATTATGTATATTATTTCGTGTTTTTAACCACATTTTTTTCCCTTCTTTTTGGAAATATCTGCATATATATGCACACCCCATTTTGTTTTTGTTATGAACTATCAAGAAGTGAATGTGTCTGTTATAAAAGGAAAAAGAGAAGTTATTTATATATTAAGTAAAATAAACATATGCAGTTATCCTGATTTTCACATTACCAAAGCAAAGGGGAAAGCCAAAGAAAAAGTGTAGAATTAACAAGCTATTACTGATCTGTTCATGCAAAAGATTAAAACTATATTCATTTTTTTCCACATAATGCAATGCTCAAGAATTATATGGAAAG